GGTAGACATGTAACAGAAAGTGTCACAGTGCTGGGATGAAACCAGGTCCATATAATTCCAACAAAGAAAATCTTAGTAGAAATGTATGTTCATTAGTGTTGAACCTTGCTAGAGTTTTTTCATTGTGTAGCTTGGTTGCCACTGTGTTTTCAGCTCCCTACCCAAAGTAGGATATTATTCAAGGGCAGAAGGAAGAGAATATGAAAAGAAATTCAGAATGAAGTACATATTTTTAACCAGGCTTTTATTAGAAATAAATCTCTGTATGACTGCTTACCACCATGCACAACTTCCAAAATCTGTTGCCAGTCTCTGACAGAAAGTAGCTTTCAGATTGAATGTAAAGTTTAATTATTTGTTATTGCTTTATGTAGTGGTCATTTTCAGTGCTAGTTTGGAAAGGATGTGATCTGCGCTTTGTGGGATTGAACACTGTGCTCCTTTAGTACCTTTGCCACTGGTATGCTGTATAAAAAAGGGGATGAAATGGGCACCACAACCCCTGCTTCTGTAGGTTATGCCATGGCTACTTCCTGCACCACAAAATGATAGAAATGATGTTTAGTTTGCCTGAAGTTGATTTCAGTTCTTTCTTTTTCACATATTTTATACCCATGTGTACTTGTACTGCATTGGCTTAGACGCCACACATTTGCACGTGCACACGTGTCCATTTTGTTCTCTCAACCAGAATCATATGTTGTGATTAGAGAATTACTTAATAAGAAGAAAATGGCCACTATGTCTATAGCAATGCATCTTCTTTTGACTACATATCAGTTAAACCCACTGAAAATAATGCATTTCAAAGACAAATGTTTAGCTCATTTTTGTGGAAAAAAGGGATAAATTGGCATATATTCAAGGGCCCCTAAACTCTCCAAAAGCACCATTTTAGGATTGAAATCAGTGTCTGCTTGCTCCACACCTATTCCCTACTATTGATCTATTGCCTCATTTTCAGCTGCTCTTTTCCTACTTTCATATCATTTAACACCTATTGGTCATAATGGAAAGCTCCACTTCACCAGTAATTCCTGTCTCTACACTGAAAAGGTCCTCAGTTTCATTCCAAGTTGACCTTAAAACTTCTCATATGGGTGCTGAAAAGTTTTTTTTTTTTAATTCATCCTCTTTAGCATCACTCTTAGAAGATCTCCAAAGAATTGAGTGTGCATTTGGTCCCCAAAAGTTCAGAAGTTCAGCCTAGCATTTGAAGATCTGAACATATTCTATCAACATAAGGAAAAACACCCCCAAATATAAAGTCCAAATTCCAAAATGGGCATCTGAAATGAACAGACCTTTCTCTAGGAAATAAAAGCAGCAAATAAACATTGAAAAATGTTCAGAATCACTGGTCATTGGGGAGGTTCAGATGAAAACAACATTGAGATTCTAGTATATGTGCTGCCAAAGAGAGCATAACACTGAGATTCTAACTTACCCCTGAAGGAATGGCTGCTATCAAGAAATCAACCAACAATAAATGCTGGAGGGACTTTGGGGAGATGGGATCGCTTCTTCATTGCTGGTGGGAGTGCAGATTGACTGGTGCAACCACTGTGGAAAATCAATATGGAGATACTTCACAAAAGTAGGATAGGAGGTACCATTTGACCCAGCTACTCCCCTGCTAGGTATCTATCTTCCCAAAGAATTAAAAGAATCATACCACAGTGATATATGTGCACCCATATTTATAGAGGCACAGTTTGTAATAAATAGCTAAAACTTGGAAACAGCCCAATTGCTCATCAACTGGAGACAGGATAAAGTGTGTGTGTGTGTGTGTGTGTGTCTGTCTGTCTATCTAGCTATCTATCTATATTTATATATATAGTGGAGTACTAGCCATGAAGAATGAGAGACTAGAAACATTTATAGCTAAATGGATGCACATTGAGGTGATATTCAAGTGAAATAAACAGGACACACATGTGCAAATACCGAATAGTCTCTCTGGTGTGAAAAACTAAAAGTGTAAATAAGGGTCAAAATTTATAATCGATAATGTGAAATAGGAAGAAAAGTCCTAAAAGGGAAGGGGAAGTGGGAGGGGTAAGGGAAAGGAAACAAGGCAAAGGAAAAGAATATGAGAGAAGGAAAAAACAAAGTCTTTGGAAATAGGGAGGGTGGAGGGGTTGAAGGAAGGGCATAGGATTGGGGAAAAATAAGAACCAAGATATATCATGTAAGTAGAAGTTCGCTATGATGAATGTAACTGTATTACATGCCTAAAATGTACCAATAAACTTAATGAAAAAAATCATAGGGAAAGACAGAATCAGTTCCCTCTGTTATTGTAAGATGATATCAATTGCTCCCAAATCCCCAAGTGTAAGAAGTCTAAATAGGCACATGCAAAGCTAATTCCCATCATCCCTCAGATATCAAGATCTAACAAGAAACCCCAAGTGAGAATATTAATCCCTTGGCAGGCTTAATTTGCCCCAGTACAATAATGTTGAGGGTCAAATGATGAAATTTGTAGCAAGAATTCACCATCATACTGCTGTTGCCTACTCTTGTATCATTACTGTATAAGCTGGAAGAATGTTTAAATGAATATTGATTTGTATTCATTTAGACAGCAGAAAATGTACAGTGAAATAAAAAGAATTGTGCTAGTGACTTCCGGTGCTTGTCTCTAGCTGGTTACCCTCTTCTTTCTGGCACAACAGGGGAAAATGTACTTCCCTAACCTTGCAATTAGCCTAAAGTATGCATCCAGTCCCTGGCAAAGTCTTGTGAGAAGTGACATATGTTGTGCTGTCACTACAAGGCTAAAGCATTTAATTGCTGCTGTGAGCATTCCCTTTTCCTGCTGCATTGACTGAGAAAGTGCATGCTGCAGATGATGCAGTTTTCATGTGGTATGCTATGGTAGAGAGAAGCCCAGCAGAGACCCCTGAGATAGTCTGCGACTGCATGGACAACAGATACTAGAGAGAGTCACCGGAAGCCCACAGCAGAATTTGCAGGAGTAAGAAATGTCTACTAGTCAAACTACTGAGATTTGGGGTTTGCTACTATAGCATACTTGCATTATCCTGATTAATGCAGGAACTCTGGAAAAGCCCTTGAATTTTTATCACATGCAATAATTGTAGACAGTGGCATCCATTACTAAAAACTGAAGGAGAAATCACAATAAATAATGGAAACTGACACCTATTTCCCTGGTAATAATTTGGTTTGTCTCTTGGTTTTAGAATGAACTATCCCACCTGTGATTTCATAGACTGCACTACATCAGTTTTTTTTTTAATATATTCTGCTATTATTCTCATATGGTACAATTCATCATTTCTAAGCATGCAATTTTATAAATCTTTATGAATATGTGTAATTGTGAAATTACTATTGACATCAAGATATAGATCGAATATTTTCATCACTCCAAAACTTTCTCTTTTGCTCCTTTATAACCAAATTCTCTTCTCTCATCCCCAATGCCTTGCCAATCACTTCTTTCTGTACATTTTATTTCACTATTTTCAGATGTGATCAAATGATGTATAATTCTTTTGTATCTGGCTTCTTTCATTAGTGTAATCATTTGGAGATTCATCTGTGTTTTTTATCTATAGTTCATTTCTTTTGCTCGTAAATATTACTTTGTTTTATGGAATTATAATTTGTTTATCCACTCACCAAGTGGTGAGCATATGGATTGCTTTAAATTTACAGAAATTAGAATAAAACTTTATGAACATTCACATATAGGTCTTTTTGTGGACATGTAATGTCATTACACTTGGGAAATGCTTGGAATAGGTATTGAATAGTCATATGATAATTGTATGTGTTTATTTCGCAAAATTGTTTTCATGTTGTTGTAATGTATGCATTATCATTAAAGAAATGAATGAATTATAGATGCTTGCCGTACTTATCAGCAATATATCAATTTTTAAAATTGTATGCCCTTCAATATGTGTACAATCGTATCCCACTTTGATTTTGTAATTGACATTTCTTTAATGGTATTGGCCATCTTTTCACATGCTTACCATTTGAAGTTCTTTTTTGGTGATTTTATTCAAATTCATTCTTTTCTTTAAAGTTTGATTTTCTGTCTTTTCATTGTTCAGTTATAGTGTTCTAGATATTTTAGATCATGTAGTATAGGCACAAATTATTTTATCATATATATGTGTGTGTGTGTGTGTGTGTGTGTGTGTGTGTGTGTGTATGTATGTTTATTGCATCATTTTTTGAAATCAAACTCAGTTTGAAAGAACCTGAGATTAAAAGGGGTAAAAACATCATCAAAGCATATTTTATCCCTTGGTCTTTTTGAGCTTTGGGAAGAACTGTGAATGGAAAAAATATAGCTGCCCTCACATATTCTTCTGTACAAGTAGAACTTCTTCATCACTTTCTCTTTACTCTGCTGTGTCTGTAATTTTCTAACCACCTTGAGGGATCTTCCAGTCTCATGTCCAAGTCTCTCAAGACTTTCCAATTCAGAGTGGCTTAAACAAGACTTTACAGGTACCTGTAGTCCTTGCTACTTGGGACCTTGAAATGGGAGCATTTCTTGAATCCAGAAATTCTGCATCAGCCTAAGAAACATAGCAAGCTAGTCTCTTAAAACAGACTATTCTGATGGTGTTCGTTGTTATAAAATAATTATTAAAATACTTCAGTGTATCTCATTATGCTAGTTTCTGTTTTTCTCAGATGAAGACCTTAATAAAATTATATTTGCTGATGATAAATCCTTGAAGAAACCACCTAAGTAAATAGGAAAAATTACTTACATTCTGGAAATTTTGCTGGAAATAATAATTTAAATTTAAAATGAATTTGAATCAAAGTGGTTTATGACTAAAACAACTTCTATGCTAGTTAGCAGAATTACTCAAGTTTGTATTTCTTCCTCAGGATATTTTTTAAATTCATTCTAAAAAGATTTGGAAGCCTTATTTTCTATTTTAATTAAAAATTTACAGGTCCTTGAAGGGAGAGCACGGACAAGGGGAAAAACATGAGAACCAAGACCTGTCATGTAAAGGTACAAGATCCCAATAATGAATGTAATTGTACTGTGTACCTAAGATGCACCAATAAACTCAATAAAAGAAAAAAAATTTACAGTTGTTTTATAGGCTGGAAAATTATAACTTCTCTAAGGTAAATTCTTAACAAAAGAGTTCTAGTACTTGGATAGTAATAAGCTAAATAATAAATGTGCTTTTGCTCAGTCTCCGTTGGTTTAGAAAAGAGCTGAACTCAGAAGCTGATTTCAATATGTCATAAATAATATTTATAATAAAACTAGTATATGGTATTTATTATTTACTAATATTTAGAGATAAAAATATTTCTTATGTTTTAACAAAATAGAAGAAATTATTGATAGCTTCTTTGGTTAACAACATTGAATTCATTAGGTAACTGGATTAATTCAGATAAAGTGGGACATAAGTGAAGCAGTAACATTAATAATCTTAATTTATTAACATTTAGCACATGCTAAACCTACTCTTCATGCTTTATAGGTATTGGCTTAATTAATCCTTGTAGTCTCCCAAAATATTTTTTGTCCTCTGATTTTGAATTGTCTTGGAAAACATGAACATTTAAAACATATTTCTAACAGTAGTAAAATTAAACGTTTAAAATGAGGATTTGAATGCTGGATGTCATTCTGTTAGGTTAAAAACCCAGTTAATCAAGAATGTTTAATTCTAAACAAGACTGAATTTTTGTTGTGACCCAAGCTCATATTTCTACAAGATCTAAAATGCTTGGAATGTCACTGATAGTTTTGGAGTTTAAAAGTTGTATATTTCGGGTAACTACAACCTTGAGGAATCAACTTTTGATACTGTACATTCTTATATGTTTTACTAAAACAAATGATATTAGTAGCTTATAGAATTATGCCTAACATTTTGTTTAACTGATAAGTAGTTTCTGAATTAATGAAAGAACCAGTTTGAATGCTCCATATTGAATATAACAAGAGGAAAGATTAATTCCTGGTCTTTATACTCTTGAGTATAAAATAGAGGTTTTCCTAATATTTTATTTCATTGATGGATATCATGTACATTTTTCCATCAAGCCTCTTACAAAGGAATTCATTTTTTTTGAACTGTGCAGATTGCTTTTTGTTCTCGAATAACAGAGCGATAAATTGGAAAACATGCTCTGAGATCGATTCTTCTCTTGTTACTTGGCGTAGATTTTTGACTAGGCTATCTAAATATATGCCTGCAATAGAAAAAAAGGAAAATGTTCCATTTTTTTCTTCAATTATTTTTGCCAATAGGAAATAAAACATTTTAATATAATTTTCAGGTCAGTAGCATTAGCCAAATAAATAAAAGACAGGATTTAGATGAATTCTAGTGTTTCAATGTAATTTTTAATAGGTCCATCTGGTAGATCAGTCATAAGGTATACTAGTGATTCTCAACCAAGAATAACTCTCTGAAACAGGAGATATTCAACAATGTCTGAAGGGCTGACATTGGTACAGCTGAGGGATTTGCTAGTAACATCTAAAAGCAGAGGACCAAAGGTGTAGGGACAATGAGAAGGATAGGGAAGGGGGAATAAGGGAAAAGGAAAAAAATATGAGAAAATGTAAAAATGGAATTAAAGTGTTTGAAGCGGGGAGGGGAGGGTGAAGGGAGGGTGGGAACAAGGGGAAAAAATGAGAACCAAGACCTGGCGTGTAAAGGTACAAGATCCAAGTAACGAATGTAACTGTACTGTATACCTAGAATGTAACAACAACAACAACAAAAAAGCAGAGGCCAGTGAAAATGCAAGAAAAACTACAGTGAAGGAGACAGCCCTCACAGGAAAGAATTATCCAGCATAAAATGTCAGTACTGATATGCCTGAGAAACTTTGGACTACATGAACAACAAATGAAGACAATCATAAATTACAATGATTACTGAGGCTACAGACACAAAATTATGGTAAGCGGATAGTTTTTAAAATAATATTTCAGAGTGCCAAATGTATCCTTCTACTTTCAGATACAGTGAGTTCTAAGTCATCTGCTATAGTGAGTTCAGTGGGGATTCCCACAGAAAGTATGTCCACTTGGAAACTGAAATTTGCTTTAGAAGAAAGAGGTTTGCAGAGGTCGTTAATTCAAAGATCTCAAGGGGTGGACGGGGACTTACCTCAGTGGTGCCAGCGCCAGCCTCGCAAGAGCAAGGTCCAGAGTTCGATACCCCGTACCAATAACAACAAAAAGATCTCAAGGGGGAGATATCCTGCATCATCCAGATGAACGCCACATTTAATGGCAAATGTCCTAATTATGTAGAAAAGAGGAGAAAAGTCAGGGAGTGGCCATGTGATGACAGAGATAGAAACTGGAGTTATGTAGCTACAAGATATGGTGTGCAGAGAGTCACCAGAAGCTGGAAGAAGCAGGAAGGAATCCAAAAGGAGGATGGTCCTGCTGAAACATCCATTGCAAACTTTCACCTCCAGGACCCTGAAAAATATAATTTTTTGTTCTATTAAGCCACCCATTTGTAGAAATTGTTTATGATAGTCCTAGGAAACTCGTGCACCTATTGATTTTCCCCGATCAAAAGAACTCCTTAAAGAATGAAAGAAAAGTAAAAGAAAAAAGGAAGAAGATGAAGAAATATTTGGGGATTTAGTTCTGGAATAGCTGAAAAGAACAGAGCGGACCTATCTAACTCATTACCCTTGCCAGTAGAATGGGCCAAAAGGACTCACAAGCCAGATGAGTCTCTCAGGGAGCCCTCTACTGGACATTGCGTTCAGCCAGCCTGAACTGGCTGTGAGAAATGAGCTCTACACAGACACTCATCCAAAAGCCAAAACCAGAACCAAAATACACTCGAAAGGTCAAGGCCAGAGAGTTGACGTTTGTCAGGACATTTGCTCCATGGCATTCATTTCATGCTGAATGCGAAGATCATTATAGAGTATGTAGCACTCGGAGATAAAAATAAACCTATTATGAGGAGAACGAGGATTACCCTTTACTTGTTTTTCCACCATTCAGAACATCAGAAACATGAGTCTAGTATGCAGAGCTGCTAAATACAAGATCCCCTCATTCAAAAGATACTCACTGGATCTATTGTTCTGTCCATTTATATCTGTCCATTTAACTCTGAGAATGGGGTTTTTAGTTAAGGACTTACAGACTTTGTAATAGTGACTGACCTAGAGGTTGCTAATCATAGCTATGTAGAATTCACATAATTTCTTGGACATAATAAACTGTACATAGAGTTGGGCATTGGGATTTGGCTTCCTACTTCTGGGGAAAGAAGCTGGTGATAATCTCTAGTATTACTAAGGGAATGGTATACCTAAAAATTATTTTTTGCCTACAAAGTCTGCCTTGGGATATTTCATTCCTTTCTAAAAACTTCATTACTGATCAGTAGTACTCTTTATATGCACATATTCAATTCATTTTAAAGTATTTATAGTTTTATTTGACTCTATGGAAGATTTGGTTTGATTTCCTAAAATGCTGAACTTTAAAAAGTTCTAGGTGAGGATGAGTGCTGCTTTATTTGGGGGCAGTAGACTCAACATTCTAATCTCTGTGGTAGCATAGAAGGGGTGATTTAAATCCCTTTTGATGGAAAAGTTACTACCTGTGCAAAATATAATGAGCAAACAGAATCACTTTTGGTCAAAACATTGGTACCACGATGCCTCTTCTGTTACAACATTAACTATCTCCTGATTAGTATCACACCAAGCTGTCCACATTAGTAGTGATTTGGACAGGAGAAGTTCTGGTCAGTTACTTCAAAGCTATGGATTTCCATGTGGAATATTATAGCATTGGTTTGTTTTGGGAGTGACAAAAAGTTTGTGGTATAGGAAGTCTTCACTATTTTTCTTTATATCTTCCTTGAGACATGAAGCATATATTATATCATTTTTAATTTGAAAAACCACAGTGTTCTAGTTATTTTAAAAATCAAACAACATTGTAAACCTTTCCAAATGTTGTTTATGTGTATAGCCTTACAAGCTCTAGTAGTTAAGTATCTTAGTTGTGCTGTTTGTACGATGTTCCTTTTGTTAGCTGAAAGGAACACCCATATATCATTACATTTAGGTTATCTTGGAATTGAGCATTTATTTATCAGTTTTCTCTTCTTCTTCTTCCAGATACTTGCCTTGGACTTTTTTCCCCCCTTCATTATTAATTCCAAGAAGTGACAAAGGAAAGAGCTGAGAGACAAATCCCGTAACTACCACTGCATTTAACTTTAAAGATATGGAAAGGGTGCTAAATTTAATAACTAGCAGAGAAAGTTATATTTGGATTGATTTACTTACATTAAACCTATTGTTCATCAGAACATGCTCAAGTCAGTTGTAGTGTAAAATGTCCTAATGGGCAGTTTAGCTTTGAAAAGCTGCCTCTTGGGGTTAAGGGACTTTGCTGGCAGGCCCTGGTGCATTTGTGGTCACACTGGGAAGCTCTTTCCCGGTAATGTGATGGTGGGAAGGCCACACTGTTCTCCACTTCAAAAGTTCCTTCCAAGTTACTAAAATGTGCTTCAAAATCATTTGCTAGACAAAAATAATAGATGCTGTATCATACTGTTCTTGTCAGATTTCTCTGCCGTGATATTCACTGTGCAGCAACTTATATATTTCTTTCTGGTTAAAAACAAACACAAACAAATACTAATCCAACACATTAGGAAGAAAGATGACTTGGATCCAAATGCTAATTAGAAGGAAGAGAATTCTAAGACCTTCTGTAGCCCTGTGCCAGGAGGTCCTTCAAGAAATAGGTTACAAATAAAGTAGAGCTTTGGCATTTTCATATTTACATTTATTTGAAAAGATGCACATGCTTTAAAGGGACGGCACGAAACATTACCTACAGAGAACCACCATTTCTTCTTCTACATTCACGATCCTCTTCTGCAATCAATGGATTACAGATGGTTTTATTCCTGTAATTCAGCTGTGAGAAAGAGTGTCCTATATCCCTGACCCTACATCAACTGACAGAGACTCCAGCCCTCTGAGCGAATGAGGGGTTCTTCCTGAAAGAATTTTCAAAACTATTTATGCTTGTTCCTTGAAGTCAAAAGATTAGATGTTAATCACGTTAAGTAAATCTTAGCAGGAATCAGTTATACTGCCCCATGCTTTCCAAACCAGGGAATATTATCTTAATTTGAACTTTTGTATCATACAGTCAGACTGTTTTAATAATAGTCAGTGGTGCATGTGGGCTGCAGCAAAATACTGTCTTGGCCAGAGAGACTGAGGTGTGGGAAGTTGTTATGTCTGGTTTCCCAGAGTAACACTACACACTTTGACTTTCAACGTGTTTGCAACAAACATCTGTTAAACACTGGTGTGCTAGACATTATGCTATTTATGAAGACAGAGAGGTTACCAAGATGTGAGTGCTGCCCTCATAAAGCTTACTGTGTAGTAGCAAAGAGAGACAAATAAATTGGGCTGATAATTACCATTTTCTAAATGTGCTTAATAGATATGGGAACAGCACTCTTCTGGGAGAGTCAAAGGATAAGTTTAACTCTTAAATGAAAATATCTGTATTGCCTAATTGAAAATATCTGATCCTAAATATTCATGTAAAAAGTTATGAACAAAGATGAGAAAGTAAAATGACTTTAAACTCATTACTGAGAAATAACTACTGATGCTATTTTGGTATAGTTTCTCCAGAAATGTTATAGATAGTATTATATAGTGTACTTGTTTACCAGAGTCTTCCTCACAATAAACACTTAGTCTACCTAGTCAACCTGCATTGTGAGAAATTTCCTCCTTTTTATCTTTGTTGGTTCGGAGATCAGACGACCAAACTTATTTGGATGATGTCTAAAAAGACCAAATTTCACTGAACACAGGTCTAAAGGCCTCTTCTCAGAGACCAGAGCCTGAGCTTTAGCACATGGTTTCTATTTTGACTCCTTAAAGGCCCCTTTCCCACTCGCTTCCTTGGTTTTAGCTGTGTTCCTGGTACTTGAGGTTATTGGACAGATGACCTCTCCATAAGTGAGCTGCTTTTTTCTAAATGTAGTTCCTGACTTATAGAAACTAATGAGAATTTGGCAATGCTTGGCTATTAATAGCTTGTCACTATTAAGCAGTGAGCAAAAGTGGCCTCAATTTTAAGCCTCTACTTTAGCAGGGGAACCTGCCAATCTGTTCAAGAAAGGCACATGGCAATTGGTACCCAATGCTAGTTATATCAATCCTGCAGGATCCTTTTTCTATGATTGCTAAATAGAATATAGGATACCTAGTTAAATTTGAATTTAAGTAAATATTGTGTAACTTGGAAAATATAGGTATATATCATATGATGCTTTATGATATATTTATACTAAAAAGTATGCCTTGTTATCTGAAATTCAAATTTAAGTGTCTTGAATTTATTTACTAAGTCTGGCAATACTACTGCCTCTTTTCTGTGTACTCCCTGACTTTAATTAAACTCTTCTCTTTTTCCTTTTTTCTCTTTAGCACAAGGCTGGCTACGAAGGCTCAGTTAAGTTGAGTTTGCTTCACTTATTGCTTGGTTATTGTCCAAATAATCTAAATATTAGGCATGTTTGGTAAGGGAACAAAGTCTTTTAAATAATTTAACCTAAATACAAAAACTATTGTAAGACCACTAAACTAAGACCAATATTCACACACAGTCAGGCACCAGATAATGACATTTCAATCAGTGGCAAACTGATGATCTCATAAGATTATATCACTTAGTGGCATCATGATCATGATAGCTTGTCTAAGTACACTCTTTGCAAAAGGATGAAATTAATGCATTTCTTAGAATATATTGCTGTTATTAACCGACAGAACTGTATATGTAATAGAATCATTCAAATCTTAGAAGAAAAAAATTATTTCAACTTTAAAGTCATCATCTAAATCATAAGAATTTGAAGAAAAACTTTAGAGGTTTCTAATAAAAGTTAAGTTTCAAAATCACAGGAAAAATTAGCTAAATATAGTGGGTCTTTTAAAAATGCCCTTTCAGTGATTCTAAAACCATAGTCAAGGGAATTAATCTATTAATTCCTTTAAAGCTACTGTTAGCACTAAGCCAAGTGCATTGAGATGATTGATCTATTTTTCTCCTTGATGATGACAATGATGATGCTGCTTTTTAGAAAATGCTTTTTCAGAATTGGAGACTAGGATTCCCCTCTCCCTGTTCAATGTTAAAATTTCTGACATATTCTCTTATATTAAGTCCAAAAAAGGCAAAGACTCCATAGTTTGTACCAAATTAGAATTCTACCTCTTACCCTTATTTCCTGGGACTGTGGTGAAATCCCTTAAATGATCTAAGTACCAACTCCAGTATCTGAAGAAGGGGGGAAAATACTTGAGCATTTATAAAGATTAAGTGAGGGAGAAATACATGCAAAAACATGGCTTTACATAATGGGTCTTAAATAAACATCATTCAGCAATGCAATAGCTGTTAGTAGCTAAAATATTTGCTGATTGAACTGCATAAGATTCAGTAGTTGATCCTCCCTTCTTATAATTAATTCTGAAATCTATGATTCCCATCTTCAATCATTCCCTTCCCTTTCTCTACATATCATAGGCATCTTAATTTATTCTACCACCCTAAATATTATAATTTTTTTCACTTCTGGACAAATTCCAAAAGCATATATGGAGAATGATTTTCTCTTCTGTCTCTAATCTAGTAAGTTACTTGCAACCAATAGAACAGAGGTCTTGCATGCAGGGCATTGCCATGTTTTGTAGACTTTTATATTTTCTCTGAAAATATGCATGTCTTCTAATTTTCTATTATTCTTGATGCTTGATATTACTCAAAAATACACTTGCCAATTCTACAATGTTTTTATATAACATTTTACTCAAGGTAAATGATTGAATCAAGTAAAAATTTCTTTGAGTGCTAGATTGAACACTATTGCATATATGGGTTTAAGTGTAGTAAAATGTTTGTCTTCAATTTTTATATTGGATTGTTAAAAAATGCTAGAAAGCAAGTCATTGCCTTATCTGCAAAATTCTGGAAGTACAATGAAGTAACATAACATTAACATTTTTTGTGTTACATAAATACATATTTAAAAGTTTTAGTTTAAAAATGAAGAAGATAGAATGAGTGGATCTACAGCAATCTGGCTTTCCCAGCATCCACCTCTTCCGGGCAATGCAGAGGCTGTCAGGGGTGTTTCAGAGTGAGCAGCTGCATCTATCACTAAGATTATCGCCAGTGTCCCTCTGCTATTTGAGTGGTCTCAAACCATGGCTAGTACATCACATATTTTCATATTTAATTTTCAGCGAGCGCAACTTGGATATGTTTCAGTAAGCTCCATTTATTATAGTATAACAAAATACCTGAGGCTGTGTAATTTGTAAACAACTGAAATTTATTTTCTTACTATGCTGGAAGCTGAGGAGTCCAAGATAAAAGCCCATTGATCCACTGATGGTGTCTTTCTTCTTGTGGGGTGGCTTCTTCACATGGTGGAAGAGGAAAGACCAAAAGTAGATGGACATTTCATTACCCTATGGAAGACGAGATGGAAGGGTAAAATTGACCTCAGTAGTTTTCTTTATTGCTTTTATAAAACCTCAAGTTCCATTTGTGAAATCCTGACCTCAGGATTTAATCATCTTCTAAATGTCCCACCTCCTAAAATTACCACGTTGAGGTTTAAATTTCAAAATAAAATTTACAGAAGACACAAACATTCAAGTCACACCACATTTGTGACTATTTTATTACCTAAACTCTGGAAGGAAGAAACATAAGGTTCCATCTACAAGAATTCAGGCATTTGTGTCGGGCTGGGGCTGAGAGAGTGATTTCAGGCACCAGAGGAAAGGGAAAGATAAGAGCGAACTCACTTTAAGAGAGCTGTGTTCTAATCTAGTGATCTGGAGCCAGCATAGAGCCTGGATGGGGAGGTGGGTAAGGGATGAGGGCACAGTTTGCCAGACGGCTGTAGAAAGAGTACATGAAAATATAAAGCAAACAAGACAGGATAACATTTTAAAACTCAAGTATCCTCCTTCTACGACCCTAGGCTGACTATCTCAGAAAAGAAACACTATCTCTCCAACTTTTCATTGGGACAAGTGAGTATTTTGTTCTTGAATGACAGATTCAAGTGTGACAAATCCCCAGGTAGAGAGAAGAAATAGATGGCATTTTAGGCAGTGCCAGTTTTAAGCTCTGTGACCCTGGGAAGCTGCAGTTCCCCTTGTGATGAATGTGGGAAGGGTGACGATGAAAGTGGTCTCTGCTTGGAAATGCCTGTGGTGTTAAGGCCTCAATCTTTAGGTCCTGGCTTTCTTATTCCAGGGCAGCAAATGAGCATGTGAGACACTGAATGTCTTAATTCTCAGGAGTCAGACAAAATTGCCATTACGAGTGTGAGCTACATCTAACATAAGAAGGGCATTGTTTTATTAATCAAAGAATTTCCACCTTTGATTATGGAGGCACAGGCCCAATTTCACTGCACAAGGCATGGGAAATTTTCCTTGTGACCAGTACAGCAATATCCATGGAAACAATATTTTAATCTCAGAATGTTTCTTCCACAAATCAAAGTGTGAAAGACAAGAGAGTCTTGGTTTATTAGCTATGGCAGCAAGTTTAGGACCCATGGAGAGGTAAAAAATATTTTGGTAGGAAAAATCAATCAAACGTTTAAAGTCAAACAATTAAATAGGAGGATGGTTGAGAAAAATAAATGTATGATATTAATATCACTTAGAATATTTCTGGACTAACTGGTAGGTGGAGTTTACAATGTTTGAAGTATATTTAAATATATGATATGATCTCACATATTTATCCATTCAAATATCCAAGGAATATTTACTGAACCTCTATTAGGTGTTAGATTCTATGCTTTGCTACGAGGGCATGTTAAGAATAAGATACACCAAGCCTCTAATTTACCTTGATGGAATTTATAGCTTAGTTCTTACATACCTTCAAGGAAACTTCACTGTTCTAAAATAATCTTTTTGTTAATCTGAAGCATTGAAATCCAAGGATTTAAAAATAAAAACCTTGAAAATCTATATTATATA